GCGACAGTTTCACAGATCGTAGCCCCCCAAAGATGGCGAAGTCTGATTTGGGTCCGCCCGTGGCGTCACTGTGCTGGGCCCCCCAGCAAGCATCGAAAGTGGCGACAGTTTCACAGATCGCAGCCCCCCGCAGGCAAGACAGGAGGAGGCAAGAGGGAGACGGGACGGGAAGGAGGAAGTGGAGACCACACTGCTCTATTCAAAACGAATACCCAACCAAGGAGGGTTGGGAAAAATACTATCCCCCCGAAAGTTGCACGAAATGTAATTCGGAAAACGCCAGCCCGTCGGGTTTGGCAGTGTTCGTGTAAGACGGCGGCCAGCTGGGGGAGGAGGAGGCCGAGTATGGGGGAGGCGGAGGGGGAGGAGGAGGAGTAGGAGGAAGAGGAGGAGGAGGAGGAGGAGGAGGAGGAGGAGGGGAAGAGAAGGAGGCTTTTGGGGGGGGAAAAAAAAAAGAATGAGGAGTAGGAGGAGGGGGGTGGAGGAGAAGGAGGAGGGGGAGGAGGAGGAGGAGGAGGAGGAGGAGGAGGAGGAGGAGAAGGAGAGGGGAGGAGGAGAGGAGGAGGAGGAGGAGGGGGAGGAGGAGGAGGAGGAGAAGGAGGAGGAGGAGGAGGAGGATGGGGAAACGGAGGAGGATAACGAGGAGGATGAGGAGGAGGAGGAGGAAGACGAGGAAGAGGAGGATGATGATGATGATGATGAGGAGGAGGGAAAAATGGAGGAGGAGGAGGAGAAGAAAACCGAGGATGAGGAGGAGGAACGGAACAGAAGGACCCGCGGGGGAGTACGATGATGATGATGATGATGATGATGATGATGATGATGATGATGATGATGATGATGATGATGATGATGATGATGATGATGATAACGATGATAACGATGATAACGATGACGATGATGATGACTATGAGGAGGATGAGGAGGACGAGGAAGAGGAGGAGGCAAAAGGCAGAAGAGGAGGAGGGAGAGGGGCGGGAATAAATGGAGGCGAAAGGGAGGCCGATGGCTCCGGGAGCTGGGCGGCCAAAGGGGGGAAGGGGGGGGGCTTCAAGCCCCCCCCTCTTTGCACACCAGGAGGGAGGAGGGGGCGGCTTCCAAAGCCCCCCCCCCCTCTTTCAAAGGGAAGGGGGGTGCTCCACTCACCCCAGCCCATTTAAAGGAAGGAGGAGGGGGGGTAGCTGGAAGCCCCCCCCCCTTTTCCGGCCCCCGTACAAAAAGGGGAGGGAGGGGGGGTAGCTCCGAAGCACCCCCCCACGTTCAAAAGGGGTGGGGGTCACCCGGTCATTTAAAGGGGGAGGGCGGGGGTAAGTTGGAGCCACCCCCCCCTTTTTCCGGACCACGAAAAGGCGGGGAGGGGGGGAGGGCTTCCGAAGCCCCCCCCCTTTAGCAAGGAAGGGGGGAAGGGGGTAGCTTCAAGCTGGGGCCCCCCTTCTAGTCTGTCGGGCCCCACGAGCGCGGTCTATCAATCATATGGGAACGCTCTAGGCAACCTATGAATCCTATACGAATCCTATAAAAAATCTGATAGGAATCCTATGAGACCTGTAGGAATCATAAAGGAATCCTATGAATCCTATGGGGGACACTATTGGAATCATATGATTCCCATACAAATCCTCAAGGAATCCACTAGGAATCCTATAGGAACCCTGCAAATCCTATAAGAATCCAATAAGAATCCAACAGGAGTCATATGAATCCTATAGGTCCTATGGAAATCCCATATAAGAAACTTATGATACTCATATGAATCCTATAAGAATCCTGCAGGAATCGTATAGGAATCCTACAAATCCTATATGAATCCTACAGGAATCGTATAGGAAGTCTAGAGGACTCCCATGAACCCCGTACAAATTCCAAAGGAATCCTATAGGAACCGCAAGAATCTTTACGGAATCCCATAGGAATCACTTGAATCCTATACGTAGCCTTAGGGTTCCCATAGGAATCCTACAAATCCTGTATGAATCCTGTAGGAATCCTATAGGAACCCTATAAGGATCATATGAATCCTATACGAATCCTATGGGAATCCGATGGAAACTCTATGAATCCTATATGAATCCTGTAGGAATCCTACTGGAATCCGATAGGAAACCCACAGGAATCCTATGATATGAATCCTGTAGGAATCCTATAGGAACGCTATAGGAATCCTGGGAATCCTAAACGGGTCCAATGGGAATCCTGTGGGAGTTTTATGCAGCCTAAGCGAATCCTATAAGAATCCTATAGGAATCCCATGAATCCGATACGAATCCTATAGGAATCCTACAGGTCGTATACGGATCTTGTGGGAATCCCACACGAACCCTATAGGGACCCTACGGAATCCGATACACATCCCATGGGAATACTATAGGCATTATATGAATCCTGCACGAATCCTATAGGAGTCCCATAGGAGTCCTATGAATCCAGAACGAATCCACTAGGCATCCGATAGAAATCCTATACAAATCCTATGCGAATCCTCTAGGGCCGGTGGATTGTGAGAAAGTCTCAGGCGGGAGCCCTCGGCGTTGTTGTTGTTGTTGTTGAACATTATTTATTCTAAAGAATAATTATTGTTTGGCCCCCTGGTGCGCGCCCCCCCTGCGCCGCCTAGGCCGCAGCTACATTTTCATCATTTTCGTGAGGAAGCCTCAGAAAAGAGGGTGTGTACAGGATCCGGTTGTTTTGTTGTAATCCGCTTTCCCTTGCAAAAAACAATAGAAAATGACATTTCTTGTTCTAATATAATCAAATTTCAAGAATCCCTTGCAAAAAATAAGGTAAAGTGGACATTCGCGCGCGCAAGACGAAATCCTTCCAAAAGCTTAGTGTTCGGAGCGATTTTAACATAAAAACATCAAAAAACATTCGCGCGCGCAAGACGAAATCCTTCCAAAACCTTAGTGTCGCAGCGATTTTAACATAAAAACATCAAAAAACCAATGGTTCTTCAACAAAAAATTGTCAAAATCTCATCCCGCGCGCTCTTGCGGATTCGTAGGAAACCCAACACTTTTTAAACATTTCTGTCAAACGGGCTTTTGCGAGCAACTTTTTCGAACTTCTGCGACAACGGTTGCGCACCTGCCAGGGCCATCATCCCTGTCAAATAATACCATGCGGGACACATTCGTTTTTTCTTCGCGCGCGCACGCCGTCGTCGTCGGCCGCGGGGCCCTGAATAGTAGCCACGGTCGTCCGCATGCCACGAAGTGAAGTGTCCGAACGTCATAGGGCGGGAAGCTGGGTGTGGGTGGTGGCGAAGAGTCGTTTGGAAAATTTGGTAGAGCTTGAACCGGCCCCCCCACAAAGTGGGGGTATTGCCCGCCTCCTATGAAAACCCTGGCACTGGTGAGAACGGAGTGTCCCCACGTGCTAGTAATTGTTGTTGTTGTTGTTGTTGTTGTTGGGGGGGGCAACCCGGGGCACGACGCGCGTCCCTATTCAACAACAACAATAACAACAACAACAACAACACCAACAACACCACCAACAACAACAATAATAATAATAATAATAATAATCCGCATCGCGGAATTCCACTTCAGCCACGCACCCAGGGACAGTGAATGACCGTTCGGATCAGCCCCTCACTCTGATAATAAGGACGCACGATAAGGATGCAAGGGCCTTGGAAGGCCATGTGCACTCTACTGGCGGGGCGCGGCCAGCGAAAGCGGCCAAGGGTGGACCGAAGGGGAAGGATGCAAAGGCAATCTTTCAAAATCGCTTATCCTTCCTGCGCGGGTTGACTGTATTGGTGTTGGTGCCAGCCGCTAGGCCTTCGACAATGGCCAGGTCAATCGCAAGACCCTACAATGGGGGCCGATCCACAAGAAACCTTCCACAAAAAATCCAACCCTGAGACTCCAGGACGTCCATCGATTTTCGGTGTGGGAACGTCACGCTGTCCGTCGCAAAACCATCGGAACCCAAAAACCTAGGGCACCCTGGAGGCAAGCAGGGCGTTTCTTGCCATGGGCCCCCACTGCACCAACAATAAAAAATGCAGCCTCCACCCCTGGCGCGCGGCGGGGCGCGCGCCACCAGGCGGAGCGGCCCCGGAAACGCCCGCGAAGGGGGCTCGAGGAGTGCGCCGGCCCGAGAAGTCCGCCCGGACCTCCGCGAAAGCTCTGGCGCTCAGGCCGCGTTTCGGCGCGCCCCCCTGGCTGGCTGGGTGGCGACACCCGAACCCTGCCCCCCCCAAACCATTGATTCTGCTGAGCAGGGAACAAAAAATGGCATACACATCAAAACTCCGAGGTCCGCGGGGGTTTCTCGGATCGGCGCTGGGGCCCCCTGGTGGCGCCTCTGGAGCGCGCCAGGGAGGGGGTCCGGCGCGGATCCAAAAAATCCGCGCGGACCTCCGAGTTTTTGTGTTTATGTAATTTTTCACTCCCCTACCCCTGCCCCGCCCCATACCATCGATTCTGCTGAGTCGGTGGGAGGCGGGAGCAGGGCTCGGCTCTCGCCACGAGCTCGACGATTTCCGAGCCCTTCCTCTGCCGCCCATCGAGCTGCCTGAGTCGTTTTTTCACGGGTGCAACAGGTCATGTGGGCACCGAAAAACTGCACCTCCAGTGAAACAGCCAGCAAACCGGCAAGACGAAGCACTTGAATTTGTACCGCGGGGCTGGCCAAGGCGAAGCACTTAAATTTGTACCGCTACACCGGCCAGCGATTTTTTTCGCTCAGAGCAAGTCTTCGATGCACGCCTGAAGTGAAACAGCCCACTGTGATACGAAATCCCCTTGAAACATAGCGGCTCCACCAGTGAGGAAAACGAGGGGCGGGAGGAGGAGAGAGGAGCGAGGAGGAGGGAGGGGAGGACAGGCTTCGGATTTTGCCGCCGACTGGCACCGACGTCGGCGCCGTCGCAGTCGCCTGCCTCCCCCTCCAGCTTGCGAGTCGCTCGTCGCAGTCGCCGTAGCAGTCGCGAGCGTCGTCACAATCGTCGCCAGTGCCTGTCCGCCACAGTCGTCGTCGCAGTCGCGAGCGTC